ATGGCAGGTCTATAACTGGGACTCAAGAGTTCATTAATCCTCCATCAAGGTAAGGATCTGACAGTCATCCTGTAAGAAGCATCATCACCTTCAACACTCATCTGTTTAGATAGAGACACTAGTTTGTTAGGATCAAGAAGATTCTAAGAGAAGGGAAGGTCCTACGTTCATAGAGACAATGAAGGTTGAAGGTGAATATGTTTTTGAGTTGGCTCTATATACTATTTCAACAGACAAACTTTCAGAGAGAATCTTGACTGAAGAAGAAATGCTAAGCAAACCGCAGTGCAGTCTCTCACCAGCTAAATCAATTCCCCATTATCCCATCTAGATGACCACTTAGCATTACATAATTACCTCCAAGCAGCACAATGGAAGTCGCTCACTGTTACGTGAGGGTCCAGCTGGAGATGGAATGGGCAGTGGGAGCCAGATGATGTACTAAAGCTGGAGACCGCCAAAGTTCTCCTTGTTATCTTCTGAGTGAAGTCAACTCTGGTTAATTGCAGCCCTTCCTAATCTATTGTTGTGCCATGAGTTTTACCAGCACAGTTATTAACTTTGATTTGCTAGCATTTAAAATTTATAAATTAAGACTATTCCAACACAGCATCAGGGAACACAGACATGATTATATTCTATCAGCAGCAGTGTGGGATTGGGTGGGGGGGAGCGAAAGGGGTGGAGTATGCATACCATGAAGAAGAAACAGTCTCAAAGTCTCAATAACCTTTTCCTGTTCTGTGCTTTAGGTTCTTATTCTCGCTGCTGATTTCAAAGTGAGAGTCTGGCTTTATAATGTTCAGTACCAAGGCTAGCTCCTTAACAAGAAGTCAGCCCACAGAAAGTCTAGAGTGAATGGATTGAATAAAACATCTCCATGTATTAAATATAACCTCTGCCCAGAATCAATGCAGGCAGGCCCAATAATAATTTTCTGTCCGATACTTTCTGCTGGACCTTGCCTCTTCAGCATTGTTTTCTGGCTCCAGGTCTGTCACAGGGAAACAACCCAACACTACCCGTTTGTAAAATAACGTTGTTCACTGCAGTCTCTAAATAAGGATGATAAATTCTAGGTTCCCTTTAAGCATCCTATATATCTGAGATAAAGGGCCCATTTTAGACTCTGAATCAAAGGAGCTATTGCAGATCAGTATCGCATTGACATGCAGCAGCAGTGATACTTGGCTGGAGCTCGAAGAGGAATGTAGTAGGGGTAAGTGGAACTGAGATTTGAAGGCATTGTACTGGAGACAGAATTTGAAATCTGGACGTGGTTATATGACCAGTAATGGATTGGAGTGGAGGGCATTGCTAGGGAGATACTAGATTCGGGTATTACTCTGTTCACAACCCAGTTTTTTAATGTTGCGTCCTTCAAATGGTGACCTAAATTATTACCTTTCTTGAAAAAGCGAAAATCCTGTAAAATTAAACAAGATTGTGTCAGATTAAATGGGAAGTGCTTTTATCTGAATTGCTCCCTAATTGTTTCTCAGTAAAGTATCACCAGGTTCACTGCTGGCTAAATACCATCCTTATACAGATGTGACTCTCAGTCCTACTTCCTCCTGTAAATGATAGTTAATGACAACCTAAAAGACAGACATTTTGAATAGAATTCCCTCTGTGGCGCTCACATCCATTAGTTTTACAGGTTGCAACTGGAGCAGAAATTCATAACAATATCAAATAGAATTATCTGCGTTATCTGGTTCTGACCAGCAGTTTTAAATGTAAACTGAGATTACAAAACACTTTGCACAGAAGGTTCACACGAAGCACAGAGTTTTCAATCCACAGCATATTCTTAGAATTTGGATTGTACACAGTCAAGATGTGGTCCCATGACAAACACTGCAGAATAGTTGTGTGTCTACCAGAATGAAAGTGCTGATAAATGGCTTTTTAGCTGCACAGGCAACAATGTGGCTCCAGAATGGTCCTGGTAAAAACTTAAAAGGGGCATGTTTAACATGAGGGGCATATTTTTTCCTCTAAGACTATCCACAAAAGGTGATACAGTTTAGGTATGATGCTAAAGTCAGGAAATACGTACTAATATGTTTAAAATTGAGGAACTTTTATAGAGGTATAATAGTTTTTAAATTCGGGTCACTTTTTGTTTTACAATACGGCCAGTTATAATAAATATCAAGTAAAGTTCCTTCTCTCTTTGAGATGTGTCTTGGATGCAACCCGAAAAGAGGTCCTCAGGTGTTAGCAGACAGGATTACCCAAGCTGGACAAGGAACAGGAAGCAAACTCACACAGGTGGGAAGTTTTAGCTAGGCAAATTCCAGCAGAATGGGCACTTTTGAGATCCCAAAGGCTTTGGCTTCAGCTAAGACACTCGTATTTTCTGGGCCTGAGCAATTAGTATGTCCATTCCCTCCAATGTATGAATATTCTCTAGAAGGTACAGAAGTCCAACAATTTGAAATGTGTCTAACAATCGTCTTCAGAAGGTGAAGAAAACACATTTTGACTTGAAATGTCTCTGAGATGCATTCTAGGATTTAAGGAACCCTAACAGCTTCACACTGATAAGATATTTTCAATAAATAGTTAGAAATTGCATTCAGTGGTTTCTCACCGTTGCTGAAGGACATCCATTCATTATGCACATTTTCTATTTCAATGAATGTGATTTTATTCAGATAAGCATCCAACTGTCTTCCTCAGTTTACCTATTTAATAAAAGCACCAGCTGGTGTAACACAATGGCACACTGACTTGGAAGAGGTCAGATTCCATCCCCCAGTCTGTGCTGAGGTAGCTAATCCAGTAGAGGCATTCAGCACTGCTTATCCAAAGGAGGGAAAACTCAACAAGGATTTTCAGTTCTGATCACCATCCAGGACCCCTGTGGAATGTGCACATCAGGTGAAACCAAAAAGGATTGTTGTGGAACTCTGCGGGCCACTGCCTCAACCCCACCACAGCTTTTTGCTATTTATTGTAACCTTCTTCTTTCTATTGCTAAAGCCATTCCAATCCAATTAGCTAATTAGCCAGCAATTCCAGGAGACTTAATCTTCTTTGAAAAGCCTAACTTGTGGAACCAGATCAAATGTTTTCTGAAACTCCAAGTGGATTTATATCCTTTATAAATTGTGTTACCCCTTGAAAGAACTGCAGTAGATTGGTGAGGCACTTATTAGCACTCGAAACCCATGCTGACAATTCCTCTCACGCTCTGTGTTCTTTAGGTGAGCACTGATGACTTAACAGATACTTTGGAACATTTTCTCAATAACCTAACTAGCCTACAATTACCAGGTTCATGTCTGACATCTTTTTGCACTATTAGGGTAACTGTTTCTGTGCTCAATTATATCTCCTGTGCTTCTGGAACAACTACAAAACTTAACCACAGCCTCACGAAAACTCATTTCAAGTTGGATGAAGCTTGAATTTAGATAGTACCTATGACATTGAAAGGTCTCAAAGATTTTCACATTAATTAATGTCATATTTAGTAACTATTTTTACAAGCAAACACAGAAACCTATTTGCACTTCCACAAACAATCTTGAGGTAGGTGACTGATTCTTCTGGTTTATTAGGACAAGAAACAAGAAAAAGGCAGAATTGGAGTCAGATTCTCAGAGAAGGCTCAAGGCTTATTTGGATTGGGATAAACCTTAAGGGGGGTTGCTGGACACTCACTAGCTAGGACCCAAGCTTACACTGGAGGCCATGTAGCAAATGTAACTTCCGCAGGTATCAACGCTCAGGAGGAGGGGAACCATTGGAAGGAACAGAGCTCTCCACTTAAACTGTTGCATATGGCAACCCACAGCATTGAAACATAAAGTACATTAAGTGCTGATATTCCAAGCTGACATGCTGGATTGATAGAGGATATTGAGGTGCATCAACTTAGTGAATAAGAGGCAGCAGATGGTAATACAACAATGGTGCTCAGAAAACATTAAGATGTGGCAGTGGAGCCTGACTGGTTAATGAATCACCTTTACTGTCAGCTAGTTGTTCTCCATCATCTAGATTGTAACAACAATTCAAATGTTTCTTGTCAGCACATTAGAGGCAGCATAAAGGATAAGAATCATAAGACGCTGGTGACAAGAAAATCTGAAGGTATCTGGCTCAACAGAACTGGTTTACAAGTTCAATTCTGGCAGATACTGTGGCCTGAATTTTCCCAATGTAAATTATTTAACTGCATATTCTCCAAAGTAATTCACTATAGGGGTTGGAAGAGGGAAGAGCTTAATACTTAAATTACATTGATTCCATAAGTTTCACACGGAAGGGGGGTAGAGATTGTACTGACAGATGCTTTGATTTAAAAGCATGAAGGAGCAAAGATATTTGGAGTTAAATAATTTTACAGCTTCGCAAATATATCAACTTCTAAGAATCTGACTGTCAAAAGAGGAACTTTCAGTTATTGTTACCACTTCAAAGCCACCTTAGAAAACACTGGTAAACATTTGGCCTCTCAGATGGTAAAAGTCCCTTTAAAACTCGACATTAAATGTCAAGACCCATCATCCAACACACGGTTCAATTTATGCTTCTATAGCAATTTAAACCTTTCTACGGTATTTCAGCTGTCTTGAGATAGGCAGGTGAGATTACTTGGTATTTGGAGATGCAGTTTGATTCTGTCCCTGTTTACAGCAACTTAGGTCCACAATGAATTCCGATTCCAGGCTTGTAGTTAAGGCTGCCTGTTAGCTCACAAATGTCACCGGTCTGCAACACATACTGTACACTGCACCAACCCCTGGGAAACTCACATGGATGGTTGGGGAAAAAGTCTTTGTATAGAACACAACTCCTGGTGGATCAGCAATGCAAGGAGAATGTACCTGCCTCTTAACATTTATCTCATGTCCATCAGGTCAGATACAGTTCACATTTATTCGTCTGGTTAGGAGACCAGAGGAGTTACATTTTCTGGTTTAAAGATGGGGGAAAAAAAGGATCAAAGTGAAACGTGGAATTGCAAACCGAATGCAACTTACATAAGGCTGAGACTCCAAGGAATCGGCATTCACTACGACTGGGGGTGGATTGGCCTGAGAGGAAAGAGAAACAAGAAAACAAAGTCAAACACAAGGAACCATTGCAAAGAGAAATCCGTCATTTCAAATTAATAAATCATAATCCTTGCATTTGATATAAACGTCTTATCATGCAGTTGAAACATCTGAAAGTGCTTCACAGAATTTACTCTAAAGGGTAATGGCTGTTATTAGTAGATAAATTAAATACAATTCATTGTTGGCCAGTCATAAAGATGTCCCCTAAAGCATAAAAGCGGTTGACAATTCCCACATAAATGCCAGTAGTTTGTTGTTTTTCACCAGCCTTTTCTTTTTAAATGTGAATTACAATCATGTTCAGAATCCACATTTAAAAAGTATTGCTCTGCTAACATAAAGTGTGCAAAGGGGAAAGGATTCAGATTGGACATCCAATAACAAACTCTAGATTTCAACAGTTCATTGAGGGTTAGATGCAAGGTGCTTCCTGGGATGGGGGGGTGGGGGACTGGTGGGAAAGAGAGTAAAGGGAGGGTTATCCTTATGCAAACTCTTGCAAACAGTTTCAAATAAAGATCAACAGTCTGGGGAGCAGGTAGCCTGCCCACCCTCTTAACATCAACAACATGTGCAGGTGGGGGTGGGAACAGCAACAAAACTCCCTTGGACTAGAGTGGCCTTAGTCAAAAATTCAATATAAATAATTCACACTTGGAACCTTTTGAAGATGTAAGGAATACATTTTCATTTATCTCAGCTTTCATTTTCAGAAATGGGGATTTTTTTGCGTTAATAATTCAGTTGAACCTTCTTTGTTCCGTCTATCTGGGCCTTCCAAACGTAATTAATATTTATAGCCAATGCATTTACTCATTAAAATGCTTAGAATGTTGCAATCAAAAGTTACTACAGTGAGTAAAAATCCTCCAAGTATCTAAAGAAAATTAATATTTGGATCTGCAGTAGAAAGAATTTGGAGATAGTCGTTTCTAGATTTTATTTGGATTGTTCTGGAAATAGATTTTTTTTTCAAAGTATAAATATTCTAAGCATCTCAGCAGAGCTCCACTCACACCAGCCACTGCAGCAAGACCTCTGGCAGTGGAGTTCTATCTGACATGAATTTTGATTTTATTTCTACCGCTGGCATTCAGCGGTTCTAAGCTGGAGAAGAACCCAATTGCGAGTACTGTGGCACGGAAAGGAAGACAAGATAGCAAATTTTACTCATTTCCCCCAAGTCCCTGTGGGAGGTAGCTTCTACCCCGATTGCTGGGGTGAATTTCAGATGCAACAATTATAATATTTCAATCCCTAAGGAAATGCTGAGCTGTTCGTTTTGGAGGCTGTTGGCAATTTAATAGCCTTACAAGAAAGGTTCTGCATCTCAATTGGTGGATAACCTGCTCTTTCAAAATGCTGATTTGTAGTTAGAACGCAAAATATTCTGCCAACACTGATTTGAGAACCTGGTACTAACTTAATGATCATACCAGTGAATCTGAGAGGTGCAGTCCATGACATGAGCTAGACAAATCTGTAGCAGATGAAGATGAAGGGTATAGGATTACAGCTTTTTACAGGAACAACCAAGCCCAACCTCTGAAATCCTATGTCAATATTCAGTATCATCTAATCTCTTTAATGTACATTTTGTTCAAACTTTACTTAATTAGGGTTTGAGGTCCTTCGATTCAGACTATGTGAGAGTAAACACAGTAAATCTATCCAGTTGCACCAAACTATTGAGCAATTTGGAGGAACACTTCACAAAAGGCCTTTATGTCAAAAGCCCACATAAAGCTCCACACTGGAATTGGTTTTGATGAGACTCCCAAGAATTTGGTCAAAGTTTTTCAAATACCTGCCTAATGATTGGCTCCTAAAAATTCTGTCATGCTACTTTGATTGCACAGGATTGTGTTGTTCATTCATAGACATAATAAATAAATAGTTAAATGTTTTTGTGAATTAATATATATATAATAATAATCCTTGCATTTGATATAGTGCCTTACCACTTCTCAAAGTGTCTCACAGAATATAAAGTGAATTTACTCTAAATTTTGTGGGCAAAATTAGACACCAATGGGTGCACGCTTTGGCTGAGATTGCACGTTTTGTGTAAAACTTGTGTCTCATCTTATTCCTGAGCTGGGTAAACCAGAGCCGTAGAACACACCAAAATTTCCATTAGCTCTATGAGCCAAGCATGGAATTACTGAGATCACAGACACTTCAATATTATTTTCAGTTCAATCACTGCAGTGAATAGAAGGAGCCACGAACAGGGCGATATTTCAGAGCAAAGGTCAATGCAACTAATTGGCTCGGGAGTAACTGCATAGTTCAATGCTGGGTCAAAACTGGCATCTCCTAGACTCCATTTTACCTACCATTCATTTAAGGCATAATGTTAGCTATGGTTATCAAACGCACAAAATAAACTTTGCATATACAGTAACAAATGTAAGGCATTCCAAATAAAAGGAAAAGAAAAAAGGACAAAACCTGTTGACTGTCAGACGAGAAGACACTGGCATCAGCAGGGACGGGCATAACAGGGATCACAGGGATAACAGGAGTAGAGGAAGGAGGAGCCTCTATCTGCTAAACAATAGTAAGGGATCAAAGTTCAAGACACACAGCTCCACAACAATACATTTCAGCAAACCTGCCTCTTGAGTGCTACATGCATACACCAACTTGCTGCTAAATGTGGCAAATTCAATGAAAAATGAGAAAAACATATATCTTTGTGTTGTGAGAGAAGAAAGAGAGCAGAACACAAATGCAATCTGAATGAAATTGGGTGATTAAAGTGCAGGTAAATGGTTTAAAATTTTGGTTGGATTCACTTTGATCCCTCCCCAGTTGGAGCGTCCACTACCTCTCCAGCCGCGAAAAAAAAAACTCTCCCTAAAAAAAAATAAAGCACCTCTGCCAAGCCTGCACAAATATAATGCAAGTTCTGAAAATAGCTCAGACAGCTGTGCTTTTTCTAAGGGCTTTATAATTCTCAGATGAAATTGTGACCCAAAGCAATCTGGGGTCTCAGCGTTGCCACTAGGATTTCAGTAAAACATTAACAGTGACCAAGTGAAATTCATGCACTGTGAAAGGCACCAGCAGTAGAATTAGAGATTTTGTCCTTTCAAACTTGTCTGCAAAGAACATTTTGAGCCCTGTTAACATTGGCATCCAGTACTCACGGGTACAAGTCTGACACTGGTGTTGGGAGTCGTTTACGGTAACAAAGTCAATCACACATAAAACTATAGTGGCAAATGATTTTTCCAGCAGTGTATTCGGAACCAGTTGCAACACAAGACCTCATCGGTGGTGTCCCCTTATTGCACCCTCAGTTGCTGAGGGTAAAAATAACCCTCTGACATTTGTGATAGACACTAATTAAATTCCAGCAGATTTAAATTGTAATCAACAAATAAAGGTCAGAAATCTTACAGATCTGAGAAATTACAATAGAAAACTTTTATTTTAAAATGATCCCTGTGGTGTACAGTACATTTCAAAAAGTGTTAGATAATTAGTCCAGGAAGGATTAGTCATTAATCAGTAACTTTTATGCTTCAATCCTCAATATGACATTCACGTTGTAATATCTAACAATCCTTATTAAAGCACTTCAAATTGCACAGTTATTTCTCACTGAGACAGAGTGTTATATTGGTGCCTCCTACAAGTTCAATCGCCAGCTAAAGTCATAAAAAACAAGATTTGTGATCAAAGAGAATAATACAGTATTAACTACAGCTACGTGCAATATGCAGTACTAGAAGTCCATCACTAAAAGTGGCCAGTACAATTATGACAACAATGTCAGATTCCAGAAAAGGTTCATCATTGCACATCCTTATGGCGCTCCATATTATCTCCATTTCTCAAACCCAGTATCACATATATCATAGATACTTTAGATTAATAATAATCCTTGCATTTGACATAGCGCTTTTCATGTTTGCTGGACGTCTCAAAGCGCTTCACAGAATAGACTGTAATCTGAATTGACTGTGTATTTGTGGGCGAAACATGGCAGCCAATTGCGCACAGCAGTGTCCCACAAATAGTCATGAAATTAAGTGAACAATTTATTATTATTTTTTTCTTGAGGGATTATTATCAGGCGTGTGGAATAAGGAAACTTGCCCAAGATTTCGCCCTGCCAGGAATTGAACCCAGGTCTCTCACTTGCAAAACGAGTGCTCTAACCACTGAGCCACAGGACTCCAGATTGAAGGAAATGGGAGCAGACGAACATTAGGGAAGAACAGAATTGTTTTTATTTTGAATGACGATGAGAATATATGTAATGAGAAGTAGATAGTACATGAATTATATTTTCAATTTGATATACAAGATTCCAGTGTAAGAAAAACGGATTCATTCTCTTTAGAAAATGAACAGAATTCCTGAGCTGTCTGGCTGGAATGTCAACAAAAAATATATAGTTCTTTGGGTGTGCAAACATTTGATTTTTATTGATAAAGGAGGCAAATGGCCAATGGAGGACCAATGCTTCTCACAGGCGCTCATCACTACCCACCCATCAATAACTACTTGTGTACAATAAAAGAAGCAGTTGGGACCTATGGAACCAAACCTCGTTGTCAGCAAGGGAGAGTGGGAGAAAAAAACAGAAGTAAGAGGCACTCCCCTGTTTTCCATGACTTGCAGCAGCCATGCAAAACACTTCCTAGATAAAGAAGTGGGAAGAATCCACTCTTTCCTGAACAATCCACTTCCCCACATCTAGAACTAAAACATTTCAGTCCCACCAACAGCGACCTTCTCCCTGAAAGGAACTGTCCTTATTTGCAGATCATACAGTTACATCAAATGAGAAATGCAAACCACGGCAACCTGATTTGATCAGGGTGATTGCATTTAAGCCTTTATTTTACAACATTCAAAGAAGCAGCTGAGAGAACAATGCAAAGCACAAAAGAGCAGATGGCCAATATACCTGGAGGGAACTGCACAATTCTCAGAATAAAAACACATCGAAGGATCCAGCTCTCAAAACACTGAACTAATTAGAGTAATGTTTTCTTAATATGCCACTGCATCTAAACAAAACTACAATCTGAATCAAACTGCTGCAGGTAAGGAAGAAGATCAGCTATAGGCATATGCCAGATAACTTTATCTGCCAGTGAGTGGGGCGATCATAACAGAGTGAGCCAACTAAACTCAAATTAACATTTACATTAATCCATATCAGTAACTGGATGACTGGGAAGTCAAGTCATTAGTGAAAATTGATACTGTAGCTGCTGTCTTGTAACAAGACATGTGAAATTCTAGAACTCAAATTGTTTCATCTCAAATACGTTCAGCCTATTAACACACACACTAAAATATTGCTCAAATAGGATGGATGAATTTTGCAATTCCGGTCAGTGGGTTCTAATAGTCAGGGTAGATTGAATGAATTCTATCCACCCCTATCCAAGTTGGGGATTTTCAGGTCGCTTTGTGAGCCTTTCAAATACATGTATTTTTCTCCCTTGATTTAGCCTTCTCTACATCAAACATTCTGTGGTCTAGATATTTTAGGGGATGGAGAAGCAGACTCAATATCATTACATGTCCCATTCCAGCCATAACCAACCCTGCACAACAGTTCACTAGCAGCTGCAGAAGCAAAGGTTCAACATGCTGGTAAGCTCTCAGAAAGCAGCTACACATTCCCTCAGCACTACCTATGGCCCAGATAAAAGCTATACATTAGATGAGGCTACTACAACGGAGAACCTCCTTTAAAGGTTACAGCACACAAGTTAACTCCCCTTCCAGCTTCTCAGTCTACTTTCTTGCCCAAAAAAGCTGGGTTAGTGACTTGTTCACGGGTCTCTATATCATTAGGTGCAACAGAGGAATGGATGTGATGGTGTTGCTTGACCTGGGATCTATATCTTTAATTTGCATGAATTAATGCATCTGCAGAGGGCAGATGGGCAGACCAACTCCAAGAATATACTGATATTTGTTGTAGTGCCTTTCACTTCATGAGGATGTCTCAAAGTATTTCACAGGATACACTGTAAATTTTAGTGGCTGTATTTAGTAGGCAAACACAGAATCTTTTTTTTGGAACTCACTTCTAAAACTAGTTTGCCTTTCAGTCTTCAAAATCTAAAAAAAAAAATTGACTATGCCTTTGGTGTTAAAACCTTTCATTCTCCTGATCCTTGCCTACTACTACTATTGTCAAGTACACTGAGATATTGTTTTAAGTGAAGGTGCTATATAAACGGACCAACTCTAGTATATGTATCACCAAGAACATTGTACACAACATGATTCCATTTCACTGATTACTATGAATAGAAATATGGACTTGTGGAACACTTGGAAATATCTCCAATAGATTTATGTGTCATGCAGCACCAAGTTCATCTCCAGTGCCTTCAAAATACTGACGTTCTTGAACTAATTTGTACCGGCAAGGCTGACGATTCCAAAAGAAAACTACATCTTTCATAAAATACACAATCCGATAAAGTCCGAAGTCCAAAATAATTGATTCACATGGCTTTCAGCAGCAAACATCTCTTTTTTTAAAAATTTGTAGTTCAAAATTTAGATGTTTTTTAAATTAGACATATCACTATTTGAAAGAATAAGTGCTCCAGGCATTCAGTGCAGTAGTGCAATTCGCAGTCATTTTACTAGTCCGCAGTCGAGAACAAAGGAGTAACTCTCATCTTCATGGAAGTGATGTGGGCGACGAGTAATGCAGAATCCGGCTAACTTTCCATATGGTGTCCAACGCTAAAAAGCCAGATGTCAGGTCATCAGGTCACCGCCATCACTTCTAATGTGCTGTGTGCAGGAAGTGATGTTGGCAGTGACCCGATGACTCAACGGTCAAGCATTTGTTAGTAGGGAACCCGGCTGGCCCGTTTTCTGTGTGTACAGGTGTCATGATGTAGATGTGCTGCCTGGCGATTTTGATATATTTCCTATATTCAACCCGCATTACAACCCTAACTGTAATGGTAAGGATGATAATTACTGCATTATAACAGGGCTCTGTCTCTGTGTGTATGTATTAAAGCCTTCATCCTCCCCTCCCGTCACATTGATAAAGACCCACATCCCATTCCAGGAAAGATTTGTGGCAAAGGTGCTGAAGAGTGTCCCAGAGAAGTAGTTTGGTAAATAATAATAATCCTTGCATTTGATATAGCACCTCATCTCGTTGTTGAGACATCTCAAAGCGCTTCACAGAATACATTGTAAATAATAATCCTTCCTTGCATTTGATATAGCGCCTTTTTGCATCTTTAGAAGTCTCAAAGTGCTTCACAAAACATACTGTAAAGTGAATTGACTGTATATTTTGTGGATGAAACGCAGCATCCAATTACGCACAGCTGTTCCCACAAAGAGTCATGGAATGAGTGAGCAAATTTTGTTAGTTGAAGCCATCAACTGTGGATTAAGGGGAGTGGGAGAAGACACAATAAACCAGAGTTGGAAGAGTGGAGGATTATATTCAGGTCCCTTGAAAATTAAATCTTGTCGATTCTCGAAAACCTGCTGAATGCATCTTGGAATTGGTCTGACTATCTGCCTTCTGCAAA